TTTGAATCCATCCCATTTTTTGATTCTTGGTTTTAATTCTTGTGCTATAGGAGTCTTATTAAGGAAGTTGGGGCCTAATCCCACATGAAGAAGATTAGGGCCTACTTTTTCTTCTATTAGACTCAGAGTCTCTGATTTAATTCCTAGGTCCTTGATCCATTTTAAGTTAAGTTTTGTGCATGGAGAGATAGGGGTTTAATTTCATTTTGTTGCATATGGGTTTCCAGTTTTCCCAGCACCATTTGTTGAAAATGCTATCTTTTCTCTAGTGCATGTTTTTGGCACCTTTGTCTAATATAAGATAATTGTAAGTTTGTGGGTTAGTCTCTGTGTCCTCTATTCTGGTATGGTTTTGGTGCCTGTTTTGATGCCAATACCATGCTGATTTTGTTAATATTGCTCTGTAGGATAGTTTAAGGTCTAGTATAGAGACACCTCCTGCTTAGCTCTTCATGCTTAGAATTGCTTTAGCTATTCTGGGTCTCTTATTTTTTCAGATGAATTTCATGACAGCTTTTTCTATTTCTATGAGAAATGCCATTGGGACTTTGATCAGTATTGCATTAAACCTGTATAGTGCTTTTGGTAGTATGGTCATTTTGATAATATTAATTCTGCCTATCCATGAGCAAGGTAGATCTTTCCATCTTCTAAGCCCTTTTTTGATTTCTCTCTTTAGGGTTCTGTAGCTTTCATTATATAAATCTTTTACCACTTTTGTTAAGTTGATTCCCAAGTATCTTTTTTTTGAGGATATTGTGAATGGGGTAGTTTTCCTCATTTTCTTCTCAGAGGATTACACACTGATATACAGAAATGCCTTTGATTTATGGGTGTTGATTTTATATCCTGCTACTTTGCTGAATTGATTTAGTAGTTCTAGAAGTTTTCTGGTGGAGTTTTGTGGGTCTTTTAGGTACAGAATCATATCATCAGCAAATAGTGCTAGTTTAGTTCTTCTTTTCTTACACTTATTCCTTTAATTTCTTTCATCTGTCTAATTGCTCTGGCCAGTGTTTCAAGAGCTATGTTGAATAGAAGTGGTGAGAGAGCACATCCCTGTCTTGTTCCAGTTTTTAGAGGGAATGTCTTCAATTTTTCTCCATTTAGAATGATATTGACCTGAGGCTTATTGTAGATAGCCTTTACAATGTTAAGATATGTTCCTGTTATCCCTAGTTTTTCTAGTGTTTTGAACATAAAGGGGTGCTGTATTTTGTCAAATGCTTTTTCTGTGTCTATTGTGATGATCATATGATTCATATCTTTAAGTCTATTGATATGATGAATTACATTTATTGATTTCTGTATTTTGAAGCAACCTTGCATCCCTGGGATGAATTCTACTTAATCATGGTACAAAATCTTTTTGATATGCTTTTGTATTTGATCTGCCAGAATTTTTTTGTGGATTTTTGCATCTATGTGCATTAGAGTTATTGGTCTGAAGTTTTCTTTCTTTGAAGTGTCTTTGTGTGGTTTTGAAATCAGGGTGATATTGGCCTCATAGAGTGAGTTTGGAAGTACTCTCTCTTTTTCTATTTCCTGAAATAAATTGAAGAGTATTGGTATTAGTTCTTCTTTAAAGGTCTTGCAAAACTTGGCTGCGTATCCATCCAGTCCTGGGCTTTTCTTGGTTGGTAGTCTTTTGATGGCTTCTTCTATTTTCTCACTTGATATTGGTCTGTTTAAGTTGTGTATTTGTTCCTGACTCAATCTGGGCAGATCATATGACTTAAGAAGTTTATCGATGCCTTCACTATCTTCTATTTTATTAGAGTATATGGTTTCAAAATAATTTCTAATTATCTTTTGTATTTCTGTAGTGTCTGTTGTGATATTCCCTTTTTCATCGCATATGCTGGTAATTTGAGTTCTCTCTCTCCTCTTCATTAGCCTGGCTAAGGATCTGTCAATTTTATTTATTTTTTCAAAAAAACAACTTTTACTTTTGTCTATTTTTTCAATGTTTCTTTTGTTTTGATTTCATTGATTTCAGCTCTGATTTTAATTATTCCTTCCCTTCTACTGCTTTTGCTGCTGATTTGTTCTTTATTTTCCTAGGGCATTGAGATGTAGGGTGAGGTCATTTATTTGTTGGCTTTTTCTTCTTTTTAGGAATGAACTCCATGCAATGAATTTTGCTCTTAGTACTGCTTTCATACTGTCCCAGAGATTTCAATGTGTTGTGTCTGTGTTTTCATTTACCACTAAGAATTTTTTAATCTCCTCTTTGATGTCTTCTGTAAACCATTGTTCATTTAGTAGCATATTGTTCAGTCTTAAAATGATGCAGAATTTTTTATTTTTTATTTTGTCATTGATTTCCAATTTCATTCCATTATGATCAGATAAAATGCATGGTAGTATCTCTACTCCTTTGTATTTGCTGAGAGTTGCTTTTTGGCATAGTATATGATCTATTTTTGAGATGCATCTATGTGCTGCTGAGAAGAAAGTGTATCTGCTTGATGCTGATTGATATATCCTATATATGTCAGTTAAGTCTAAGTTATTATTTGTGTTATTGAGCTCTATAGTTTCTTTATTCAACTTTTGTTTGGAAGACCCGTCCAGTGGTGAGAGAGATGTGTTAAAGTTACACAAGTTTATTGTGTTGTGGTCAATTTGACTCTTGAACTTGAGAAGAGTTTGTTTGATGAACATATCTGCACCATTGTTTGAGGTATATATATTTATGATTGTTATGTCTTGTTGGTGTATGGTTCCCTTGAGCAGTATGTAATGTCCATCTTTATTCTTTTTGATTAACTTTGGCTTAAAGTCTACTTTATTTGATATGAGTATGGAATCCCCTGTTTGCTTCAGCAGTCCAAGTGGTATGATTTTTCCCAACCTTTCACCTTCAGTCTGTGTGTCTTTTCCTATCAGATGAGTCTCCTGTAGGCAGCATATTGCTGGCTCTTTTTTTTAAAAATCCAATCTGCTAGCCTATGTTTTTTCATTGTTGAGCTCAATCCATTAACATTTAGGGTTACTATTGATACATGATTTATATTTGCAGCCAAATTTTTTTTTTTTAACTTGACTTGGTATTCCTCTTTGATTAGTTTTTCCTTTAGTCTGCTACCTCCCTCTGCTGGTTTTCATTGTTGATTTTCCTTTCCTCTTCATGAATATTTTGCCAAGGATGTTTTGTAGTGCCAGTTTTCTAGCTGTAAATTCTTTTAGCTTTTGTTTATCATGGAAGGTTTTTATTTCATCTTCTAATCTGAAGCATAGTTTTGCTGGATACAAGATTCTTGGTCGGAACCCATTATCTTTCAGAGGTTGAAATATGTTGTTCTAGGATCTTCTAGCTTTCAGAGTCTGTGTTGAAAAATCCACCATTATCCTAACTGGTTTACCCCTCTATGTAATCTGATTAGTTTCTCTTGTGGCTTTTAAAATTCTCTCCTTATTCTGTGTGTGGGTGGATCTGTTGTGATTTTCCACATTTGGCATCCTGTAGGCTTCTTGGATTTGATTTCCATTTCATTCTTCATGTCTAGAAAGTTTTCTGATATTATTTCATTGAACAGTTTGCTCATTTCTTTGGTTTGGACCTCTATGCCTTCCTCTATCCAAATAACTCTTAAATTTGGTCTTTCTATGCTATCCCAAATTTTTTGGATGTTCTGCTCTAGTTTTTTAATCATTTTTTTTGTGCTGTATATGTTCTCTTCAAGATGATATACTTTGTCTTCATTGTCTGATGTCCTATCTTCTAAGCTATCTACTCTGCTGGTGATACTCTCATTTGTGGTTTTAATTAGGTTTATTATTTTTTTCATTTCAAGTATTTCTGTTTATTTTTTTAAACCTCTATCTCCCTGTAGAGCTGATCTTTTGCTTCTTGGATTTGTTTATGTAGCTCATTGTCAAAGTGATCATTCACTGTCTGTATTTATTGTCTAATGTTTTTGAGATTCCAAAATGTCTGAATCATGTAAATCCTGAAATCTTTCTCTGTCACTTTTTCTGCTAATTCTTCTAATGATGTGTTGTCTTGAATTGTTTGTGGTACTTTCTTCCTTTGTCTTTTCATGTTGCTTGCATTTCTTTCCTGCTCTGTGGGAATGGTGTATTTTTGTTTTTATCCTACAGATTTGTAGTGCTCTTGTATAGTTCCAAGATACCTCCTTTGCGGGGAAGGACAATGTTGACAGTTCCCAATATCAATAATACATCACTTGTTCAGTCGCAGATCCTCGCTGGTAGCCATGCTCACCAAAAGATGGCAAGAAAGGATTTCCAAGATGGAGTTGGTCTGTTTTCCACAACGGGGTCTCTGGTGAACTGGGCAGGGGGAGCTGGGATGTCCTCATGCTGTGGTTAGAATAGCTTTCTTGGATTTATGCACAGAACAGCCATAACTGGTATCTCCTCTACTCCTCCATCTTGGACCCACCCTATACATGCTGATTCTAATGTATAGTTTTCCTTCTTATCCTTGCAAAGATATGATTTATTAGCATAATGTGTGAAATTATGGAAATGTGTGAAGGTGGTATCTTGTGCTATTTTTCTTAAGAAATTATATTTGGTGTCTATAGATTGAAGTATACCTCCAACATTGTTTGTTTTTATGTTCTGTACATAGTTAAATTCTTATGATTGTAGTTAAAGTAAGAGTACTCTAAGAATGCTTGTGAGGTTTCTCTTGTGTAAGGCTGTACATCAGGGGTGTGTGAGGGTAGAAACTGTGCAGTGTACCTGTCAATGAACATTGTTTTGAAGTAAAGATAATCCCAATATAGGTATCCCTGTTTTGGAGATGGCCAAATTTGTTTCACCATTTTTTAAGGCTGAGGTATGGGATCTGCAATAGGATATTTATGTGTTTGTGTACCTAATGCCATGTCTCAGCTGTTGGAAATGAGTCATTATCTATCTTAAAAACTGATGTCCTCGTAGCAAGTCAAATTTACCATAGTATGCGTGCTTATTGGTATATGTCTTTTATTTGGTGAGTTTTTTTTTTTAATAAGAAAAAAAAGCTTTATTTTAATTAACTATTTACCTGTGCGTTTACGAGGAACATCAAACAGATTTTTTGCTGCAGCCAACAAATGATCAGATTTCTCCAAAACATCCTGCATCTGGTATTGATCAGAAAGAATCTAGACATGTGTCAATAACAAATATTACTCAGAAAAAAAAATATATATATATACTCTTCAAATCACAAAGGAAAAGACTATACAAAGGCACAGAGCATAAACCATAAACCACCACCTAAAATCCTTCAGTTACAATATCCTTTAGTACCAGTAGATGGGGCTATCACAATAATTAGTAGTTTGCAAATGGTTGGCTGCAATCCAAAGTAATACATATTAAAATTGTAACCCAGAACACTCACATACATGTAAATGTATATGAAACAAAAGTTTATTTAACAAACTTTCTGCATTAAAAAGTACTATTATATTTTCTTTTTCACTTCTATTTTTTAATGATGGTAACAAGATACTAACTCAACTTCATAATCCATTAACAAATTATCATCCACAATTTGAAAAAAAAAATCAAATATAAAAATCTTTGAGCCATAAACTCAGAGGTGTTTCAAAATGATTTCATAATCTACACTGGGTCATGAGTTACATAAAAAAAAAAAAAATGAGTGTTAGAATTAAACAAAAAGGTGATGTCTCTGTGTTTTAAAAAAGTTGTTTTTTTAATCCCAAAGATTTGGAAACTAAAAAAAAAATCACATTACATTCCTGCTTCTGATTACACGCTTTTCCAGGACAGAACTTTCATAATTACAAGCAAAGCCACAGGCCAAAAATGAGTCAGCTCCCATCTACCACCACCAGATGGCATTCTTAAATTGAAAGGCGTCTCAAAATTAAGAAGCTACCTAGTTTCCAACACTGACTCAAGTCAAAACATCTGGTAACAAATATTCCTACCAGAATTTTTCTGTATCATGGAAATAATTACACAATATAACCTCAGTTGTAGTTTTAGGATACAGAAAGAAAAATAAGTTACTTTTCCCCTTCTTCACTTTCTGTGGCCAAGCAGGTCAGCTAGCTCAGTTGATAAGAATGAAGTCCTGAATTTATTCCTTCCACAAAGAGTAAGCTTCGGAAGGGTAAGATCAAGAGCACATTTGGAGCTGGGAGACTGGAGTTCTAGGCCCAGACAAAAAAATGCTAAGCAAAATCCAACCTCTTTAAACTTAATTTCCCAAGTTGCAAACACCTCCTCAATCCTACAGAGATGCTACAAGGATGTAGACACACTGGAAACTTATGCAGCACTCTAGAGAAGCTTTAGCTACTGTTATGATGTAAATTATATTATCCTATAAACCAAATTTCTATCACTGATGAGTCCTCTTACAAGTGCATGCAATTAAAAGCTTAGGAAAGAATGTGATCTATTAATCTATCACTACACTAGAAAAAATTATAAAAATTTATCTCTTAATGACAAGAGATTTTTTGTTATTGTTGTTGTTTATTTATTTTTGTGGTGATAGGAATCAAATCCTAATGGAAGTTTTTAAGAGTTCACTACATTTTTTTTAAAAGAGAGTACTGATCTAACAAAACCAAGAAACAGAAGGAAATTACAGAGATGTAACTGATACTAGTTATAATTGAGGTCTCAAGTAAAGCTACTGCTCTACCCCCTTCTTCTAGCCTCTGACCAGGCTCCTTGGGTACATGGTTTGAGTGACCAAAGATCTGTGCTCGATTTTCTTTGCTCTTTGGAGATTTATCACTCCTCTCACAAAACAATTCTCTTGATAGGTAAACTGATCTCTGTAAACCCATCTGTATATATTTATACTCCAGATGGATTTGCAGAGCAAAAAATTAAAGTTATAAGTAGTGGTGTACATCTTAGATTTTCAAAGGATCAGTCAGGAGGCCAGAAAAAACATTATCGGAAACTCCTCATCATAGCCCTTTTATTGCAAGGTAACAGAAACCAGATGAAATTGAGAAATTACAAAGATACTTAGGAACTTATTACACTTTTGGAATTTGTAAAAGGCTTTATGAAAGGCTCCCTTCCTCTTAAATTTGAACCTTAATTGTGCTTGATTCCTATGGCCTATTATATCATACAGTAAATGAAATCTAAGATTATACTGGCCAAAGAGCTTTCCTCTTGATTTATATTAATCTAGGAGTCCAGTTTCAGGGGGATGAGTCCTGAGAGCTTCAGTGTATAATGATTAAGCCTACATGAATATTCTTATTGAGAATTTTTTTAATATTATGACATCCCTTAAACATAGACATTCCAAATTTAGTAACACTGAAATAAAAGATACACTTATCCTTTGACTCAGCAATTCTTAATAATTTATCTTACAAATATATATATATATATATCCAAAAACATACTTAAGAATATTCATTACATTATTTATAGTAGCAAGGTAGGAAGCAATCTGTGGGTGGCATACATTGCTACTTATCCACTAATACCCTTTCTTCTGCTTTGTGCTTTAACAGCAGGACTCCCAAGTTTTAGCAAGTATATAGGTAGATTTCCAACCATCTTTGCAAGTGAGAATGGTCATGCAATGACTTTCTGGCCACCAGGACAGATACTAACATTTCTGGATGGTATGTAAAAGGAGTACATTGTCTTTTCCTCTCTTTGCTGGCTTGCATACAACTGAAGAAAGCTGCAACAGTCATTCTATACTCAAGACAGAAGTCATGTAATGAAGGACTACAGGTCTCCCACCAAATACCATTTACAAATGAACTATTTTATAAAAGAGAAATAAATCTTTATTTGGTTTAAATGACTATGTTTTGAGGATTTTTGTTCCAGACATTTACACTGCATTATAATATAAAACCTAAGTGTCCACCAAAAAAGCATGATAAATAAGCTTTAGTATATTTATACACTACTGGGAGTTAAAAAGAAAAATTAGAGGGCTCTCTTTGTAGCTCCATGGAAGAGTGCTTACCTAGCATGCACAAGGCCCTAGATTTAATCCTCAGCAACACACACACACACACACACACACACACAGAAAAGGTTGATTTCTAAGTATTAACATGAAATAAATTCCAAAATACATTGTTAAAGAGAAGAGAAACAAGTGAATCCCATTAAGAGCAAAGGTTTTCAACCCCTCCAGCGCATTAAAATCACACAGGAAACTGTCTAGAAAATACCTGTGTGGAATCACACTCCAAGTCAACTAAATCAGACACTCTGGGTAAAAGGTCCAGATACAGTAATAATTTTTTTAAAACATTTTTTAGTTGTTGATGGATCTTTATTTAATTTATTTATATATAATGCTAAGAATCGAACCCACTGCCTCACACATTCTAAGCAAGCACTCTTCCACTAAACTACAACTTCAGCCTCTAGGTACAGCAATAATTTTTTAATGGAGCTTCTCAACCGCGGTAATTCTAATGTGCAGAACCACTACACTAGAACTGAAGGAAGCTGCACTACCAAAAGAAGGCAGAGCAACCTTATTCATCCTCTCACCACTCAACTTCCAATACCTTACTTCTACCACATCTATTACTTATATGAGAAATTCAGGACATGAGCAGGAGCCACTGGAGAAGGAAAACAAAAGCTCAGAGTCTGATGCATTTCAGGGGGACTGGGTTTCTTTCCTGGTCAGATGTGTATTTTTAGGACTTTTGAAGAGAATTAGCATATAACATTTAAATGTGTGTGAACTTGTCCAAAATCACCAAAATATATTTATCTGGAAAGGAGCATTCTCTTTTCAATTCACTGTTCTTTTCTCAAGGACAAGAAACATTCATTTGGTAGGTATAGTTTTTCCTGATGATGTTTAAAATGAAGACTTCCTTTTTTCATTAAAAACCCTAATAAATTTCTGAAAAAAAAAACAGTGTGATTTACACCTGCAATGAAAGATCACCCAGACAGCTAAGTGTCAGAGACTCTAATCTGAACAAGAAGCACAATATACATTTCTTTACAATGATTTCAGCTCAAATTTAAAAGAAAAAAAATTATGGTTATAGTCTCCTCTTATTTCCCACATTGTTTATCCATATATTATCTGATTACTTGTCCAAAAACCCTATATTGGGCAAAAGGTTAAGCCAAATACCTGTGTGGAATCACACAGGTTTGTAGTTTACTAACCATAAAGGACACAGCATTCATTTTTTGTTGTTTTGCTAAGTAACTTAACAGCACTGCTGTTGAACTGAGAAAAATAACTATACCAGTTTACATATAAAAGGAACTGATTATTTACCAAGGACTGTGCTGATCACTATATAAGTATTATATCATTAAAATCTCAAAAGAAGGCATTTTATAGATGAGAAAATTCAGGCTAAGAAAGTAAATAAATTGCTTAAAGTTACACAGCTAGTAAGTTGTGGACCAAGAATTCAAACTGCCAAATCATCATTTGCTGCTACCTTAAAAATCTACATGTAGATCTATAGATATAGTAATAACTAGTCTCTATAATATCAATCAAGTTGAGGGAAAAAGAAACCTATTTATCTCTTTCCTCTAATTCTAAAGGTAATGCATTTTAGCATTACCTCTCTCATGATAGACAATCTTCTTTTCTCAAGACTTGAAGATTCTAGTTTCTGCTTCCTCCGTTTTCTCTTCAAAGCTTTTTCTTGGAGTTCCCAGTGCACTAAAGCTCTATTCTTCGATTTATGTATTTCATGACGACGTACCAGATCTTCAGGAGTTGCCCGATGAACTGTTAGATCATTCACAGTATTATCCCATTCTTGCTTCACTGAAGTTTTCTTCTTCTTCACTTTCAGTGTTTTTCTTCCACTTCCCCGGGGACGGTAACGGTTCACTCTGACCAATGACATCTTACTGTTTTCCAACTGCCTCCACCGCGACTAAAACTTCAGGCTTAGGAACCACGGAGCGCGCCACAGGTCAATGCTATTTGGTGAGTTTTAACTCTCCTTTTCCTGATGTTGTCCACACAGTATTTTCTGTGCCTTGTGCTATGATTTCTCCTGGTGCAGTGCTAAAACTTTTCCTATCTCTCCTGTTTATTTTGTATGGTAATAATATGGGGTTATCCTGTGTATTGAAAGTGAGGGGAATATCTTGTCTAGCTATAACTTCCTCAACTGGGGAAAGTCTGTTTCTCCTAGGTTTACTGTTTAAATTCATTGTAGCTTCTTGTAGGGCTTTCTGTAAGGGTTCCCCTTTGTGGGAAAGCAGTTCATTTTTAAGTAATCCATTTCATCTTTCTATATTCCCTGCTGCTGTTGTATTGTATGCCAGATGATAATTCCATTGTATATCAAGAGTTGTTATTAGGTGTTTGACTAGTTTTCCTGTGAAATGGGTTCCCTGATCAGATTCTGTGATAGTGGGTATGCCATAAGCTGCTATCCAACGTAGGATAAGTTCTATACTGATGTGTTGTGTTGGTTTGTCAGCTGAAAGTGTCATCCCAATACCTATACATGTGGCAACATAATTTTTCTGAAAATCCTTAAGAGGTCCTATGAAGTAAATTTGTATTCTATAATTAAAGATTTTATATTCTAAATCTGGTTGGGGAATTTTATGTAGATTAAATCTCAGTTTCATTTTTGGGCATGTGGTGCACCTGCGTAAAACAGTTTTGATGGCATTCCATGTTACATCTAAGTTCTGCCTTTGGAACTAGTCATATAATGCATGTACTCCTATATGACATAATTGCTCATGTAACTTTATAATGTCATGTTCAATAATGTTTACTATTGTATTATCAGGTTAGATGTTTTTCCATGTTCCTTTAAATTTAAATTTAAAAGGATCTTTGGTGGGTTTTAGTTCCCAATTCCTTTGTAGCTTGATAGTGGCTATTTTTGATAATTTGTCTACTGTGTTGTTAAGTGTACTGGTGTCTGTGTCCCTGTTTATATGTGCATCTACATGTGTAAGTTTTATGTTAATTTTTGTACTGGGTTCATATAGTTCTTTCCATATATCTCTTGACCATAAAGGTTTTCCATTGATATGGAAGTCTGAAGAAGCCCATTTCCCCGACCATGGTGCTATGCCATTTGCAACACACCATGAATCTGTATAAATATATATATCTTTGCATTTTGTTAACAAGTCCTCTCTAAAGACTAATACAACTGCTATTAGTTCTGCATGTTGTACTGATTTGTGTTCTTCTTGCTCTGTCAAGATCTTCCCTGTCTTAGGGTTCTATGCTGCTGGTTTCCTCTTAGCAACTCCTTTCACTACTGTACTTGATCCACCTGTAAGCCATGCATTTTGTATATTTTCATTGTATGCAGGTCCCCATGTGCCTATATTTTTCAGTGTGGGTTGTGTTGGGATATCAGGCACTGGTAAAAATGGTAGCTTTGCTACTTCTTCTGTGATTTTATATGTGCCTACTTTTTAATCCTCCTCTTGTAGAAATTGTTGTAGTATCATTGCCACATCAGAACTTTCTTTTCCCATCCAATATTTTGTGTCTCTTTGGGGGTGAGTTTACACCAGTCTTTAAGTGAAATTGGAGTTCTTAATATAATGTGATCATTGGCCATAGTTTTAGCTTGTTTTAGTGCCTCAAAGGCAACCCATGCCAATTTTTCAAATGATGAATATCAATTGGATGCATATGGAAATCTTTTACAAAAGAATACTATTGGTTGGGACTTAGTTTTGTTATTATAAAGTCCCCATATACAATAGTCCTGTGTGAAAATGATGTCCACAATCATAGTTCCTTGGAGGTTATGCAATTTTCTAAATTCTGTTATATATTGTTTTAATATAAATAAAGCTTTTTGATGATGTGATTACTAGAAAAATCCTGTGATCTCCTTGTTATTGCATGTATTGGTTGTAAAATAAGATTTAAATATGGTATATGGTTGCACCAATATGCTAATATTCCTATCAATTGTTGTGCTTCTTTCTTATTGGTAGGAAGTTGTAGTCCCAATATTCTATCCATAATTCAATCTGGGACTTGCCTTCCTTCTACTGTGATCATAACTCCTAAAAATTTTACTGTTTGATCTGGTCCCTATACTTTCTCTCTTTTGATTGTCCATCGTTTTGCTGTCAGATGTTTAATTACTTTCTTTGCCATTTCGTGCAGATGTTGTTTATCATATCCAGCTATTAGTATATCATCTACATATGTATATATTGAGACATCTTTAATTTTAAGATCTTAAGGGATTCTGATAGTGCAATATGTGCTATTAGTGGCTTCTTTTGAAGCGATACTGCATGGAATTCCACATAATTGTGGTAACCTCTCTGGATTCTTCTGCTATGGGGATAGCAAAGAACATATCTGACAAATCTATAGTTACAAAAAATTTAAAATTGGTGGAGGGTATTTGTTGTAAGATTGTGGTAATATCTGGCAAGTCTCCTGGCATCTATGGTGTCAGTGCATTGACTGCTCTGTAGTCTACTTTAAATCTCCATTTACCATTAGGTTTTAAGATAGGCCAAACTGGGCTATTATAGACAAATGAGATAGTTCTTTCTATGATGTCTTCCCTCAATAATTCTTCAATTTTATTAGTTATTTCAGTGTGCCCTCCTGTTATTGGGTATTGCTTTGTGAAGTTATATTTAATTTTAGGTAGGACTATGGGGTCCATTAGTAAAGAAACTAAGTGTGTCTGAGACTTGGTCATATTATTTTTAAACTTTTTATAAGTTATCTATGATGAAAAATTTCAGGTATCAGCTCCATTTCTAGGACCTTAAAAGGAGTTTCAGCTAAAAGTATCTTGGTTTTAGTGATTTCTCTGTCCCATAAATGGATAGTTACATTTTTCCATTTTGCATTAGTTTCTATGTTCCCTATTCCTATGATCTTATGATCACTTTGCATAGTATTATATGTTATTCCCAAAATAATTACTTGGTTTCCTGTATCTATTAGGAATTTATGTATTTCTATTTTTCCTGCTTTTTTTCTGAGAGTATTAAAGGTTAATCTATATATATTCTATTATCCCTAATATTGAAAATGCTGTCTGACTTCTGAGTTTCCTTGTCTGTTGAATGTCATGTTCTTGTTGTAAGTTGTTTGTGTGCCTGAAGTTGCTGTTGTGTTTGGGGAAGTTGTTGTTTTGTGTTCTTTTTTTTTGTTGTTTGCTGTGGGTCCTCTGTTTGAATGAAATCTGCCTCCTGATTGGCATATCTGTCCTTGTCCTCTGAATGGTGTACTGCTCCTGGGCCTCCTGGGTGTGGAATTCCATCCTGATGGGGCCCTTCATCTGGGAGGCTCCATGTTTACCCAAGGCTGCCTTTGCTGTCTGTTGTTATAATTAGGGAATCTGATGTGGTTTTGTGAGAACTGAGGAGGAAACCTAAACTGGTGTGGTGAGGGTTGAATTGGGAAAGAAAAAGATCTAGCATCATCCAGCTCTTTGTCTTCTTTACAATAAGTAACCACATCTTGTAGTGTATGCATACCTTGTAATGCTAATGTTACAGTTAATCTGACTAATCATTAGTCTTTTCATCCGAGGTAACAGCTCTGCCTGTAATGGCGTGTTACATGTGTGTATATTGTATATTGTAATTTTCTAGTTAATTTAATAGCCTGTTGATATGTAGTCCATTGTACCTGTGATTTAAAACTGCTTATATATATCACAGGAAATGCCCTCTCCTAAGCTAATGCTACCCATTACAGAACAGTGTGTTTCTGCAGTCTTTTCTCACTAGTTTCAGCCACTAAAGCCTCATATATAGATTCATTTTCTAGTATAGATCTTATTGTATGCATTTCATCTCCATGAACTCTGATGGCATGGGCTCCATGTTCCCACAGTCTTAATAAAAATTCTACATCTTGCTCCACTTTCTGGGCAAATTCATTCCTTAACTGCTGCAGCTCTATTCTACTAAAAGGTCTCGTTTCCACTTCCTCTTCATTATCACTATCTTCTGACCCCTTTTTCCTTGGCATTTTGGTCACCTTTTGTGTAGTTACCTATAAAACTTCACGATTATCTGGGTGACTTTTTTGCCTTTCTAGGGCCTTTCTTACTAAAGTTTTAACCTTTGGTTCTATCTTCATCTATGTCATTAATAGTTTTAACTAGCAATCCTGGGATTTCTTTTGGAGTGGCTCTAGCAATGATTGGCTGAACTACCTCTGGGTGGGATAGGGGGATATCAATTCCTTTAGTTCCCTTGTTAAATCCTGGCAGTTTCCCTTGCACTGTTCTCTAATTCTCTCCAGGGACTAGCAGAGCTAACTTCCTGGTTACTTACTTTCTTTTTAAAGATGTTCTGTAATTTCTTTATTTTGTCAATATGCTATAGATCAATTTAATATACTTTTTCCTACAATACCACATAAAAGATGTGTTTGTGTCTATCTGCTTTAGTGCTTATGCAATTTGATTTTCTAGATGTCTGTGGATGCACTTTTTCATGCAGTTCACGTGTTATTGTATGTATCTGTCTAGGAGGCAGATTGTGTAGTTTGCTATATGATGGTGTGTCTGTGTGGTGTTATTACCAATTTGGTATATGTCTTTGCAGAAGGTGTAATGTCCTATTAGGTTTATTGCTATAATTGTCAATGTAAATATTATAAGTTTCACTGTGTTTAGAAAAAGTTTCTGAATTCTATATGTGGTTGTCACACAGGCAGGACAAGATAATTCTCACAGACATTATTTGTCTCTTTCCTTGACTGCCGACTACACCAACTGTCTCGAGGGGGCAAAATTGTGACATATGCAGTCGAGGGGAGAAATAAAGAATGTCTACATGCTTCTGCCTTTTAATGCTTTATTCACTCAAATTACTCAATAAGGTTTCACTCTATAAGTTTTTAATCAAGAAAATGACAATCCTTAATGATAGGTACTGCAATAGACAAAATCACTTCACAGCAAACAATTCTAGATTAATTCTAGGGACTGCAAAGCACACTTAATCATGACCGGCTAATGACAGACATTTCCTCTTCATGCTAAGTTCAAAAGTCTTAAGCTTTAGGCCTTATGTCCAGCAGATGCACACTCACTCAGACCGTAGACCTCACTCAGGTCCAGAACCAAGGCAGGCTTTTCCTGGCATGGAGTGGATGACCAGTTGAGAAGAGGGTCATATGAAGAAGTTGCGGCTCTCACCCAGGTCCAGACAATGTGGTAGAGTTTGAGAGTGGTGAGGATCACGCAGAGGCTCAGGAAATGATGACAAGTGATGGGATGTCAGGTCCTCATCAGGCTCTCCAGCTGGAGTGCATCCTTGTTTTGGCTGGCTGAATCCCTGTTCATTTGCTCCATTATTTATACTAAATTTGGGAGATTTTTTGACCCCTCCTTTCAATCCTTATCAGCTACCACTAGATTTCTTAGCGACATCATTTACCCTAGGGTCAGAAACATCTGGTCTGGTGGTCTCCACCCTGATCTTCTCTCCTTTTCCTCTTATCAGGGGAGGACAGCCTGCCAGGGTCTTCCCTCTGCTTATTAGGGTGAGGGGAAGTAACTTGTTTGTGGCCATACTGGAGGGCTCTGTGGGTGTGCCTGGTGAGACTGCAGTTTAAAACTCTATTTTAAAAACTGGAGTTTTTAAAATGGAGTTGCTTAGGCTCAGGCCTAAGGCCATCCTAACATCAAATGATACAGTTCTTAGTTTGACCTTGTGTTTTATTATGAAGACAATAAAATATTGAGTTTATATTCACAGAGAGAGGGGAGGGTTGGACTCTTAACAAAGAATAGACAACGTAACTAAAAATGGACAAATGACTGAACTAGACATTTCTCCAAAGAAGATATAAAATGGCCAACAAAATGTGAAAAGATGTTCCTGTCTCTAGGGAAATGCAGATGACAACCACAATGGAATACCACCTCCCACCACTAAGATGGCTGGAATAAAAAAAAAAAAAAAGAAACCCATAAATCAACTAGTGTTGGCATACATGCCTGGAGAATTGTAAAATGCTTCAACTATGTGATCCTCAACAAGTCAAATCTATAATTACCTTAGACCTGGCAACTCAACTTCTATGTGCATATATAAAAGAGCATTAAAATGTGGGGTTGGGATTGTGGCTTAGTGGCAGAGCACTTGCCTCGCACATGTGAGGCACTGGGTTTGATCCTAAGCACCACGTAAAAAATAAATAAATAAACAAAATAAAGATATGTTTTTAAAATGTGGTTGGGTTTGTGGCTCAGTGGTAAAGGGCTCACCTAGCACATGTGAGATCCTGAGTTTGGTCCTCAGCACCACATAAAAATAAGTAAGTAAAATAAAGATATTGTGTCCAACTACAACTTAAAATAAATTAATTTAAAAAAGTATTTAAATGGCTATTTATACAAACTTGTCCAAGAATTTTCATGGCAACACACTTCACATAGACATGGCAGATAACCACGAGCTGATGGATCGTAGAATTCATATAGTTTATTCATATAATGGAATATTATCCAGCCCTAAAAGGAAGAGGACCTGACAGATTGGCTACAACATGGATGAACCTTGGAACCATTATGCAAAGAGAGGCACAGGGGCCATTTATTGCATGAGTTCATTGATATGAAATCTCCAGAATAGGCCAACCTGTAGAGACAGCAAGCAGATTAGTGATTAGCAGTGACTTGGTGTGGGGAGTGGGGATGACAGCTGGATGGTAACGAGGTTTCCATTTGGGATGGTGAGGATATTCTTGACTAGATGGCGGTGAAGGTTTTCCAAAGTTACAAGTTTACTAACTCACACTGGGTTGTACCCTTCAAAACGGACAGAGGGTGACTATTAAACATGAATTTTACTTTAGTAACTCAGGGAGAGAGTTGAAGGTGAGCCATCCTCAGCCATGAGGGGGTCTCTGAAGATCCCACCTCAGTCCCAAAGAGTAGAAGAGCTGAGGAAAGCCCTGATCATGGGACCTTCCCTGAACTCTCCCCTTCCTCCCTGGCTCTGCTCGGGCCTGAGAAGTCGCGCGCATCCGCGCTCCACGCCCACTATTTTGAATGGGGAGCAAATGGAACTGCTATTGGTCCAGCCGGTGGGGCTGAGCGCTGATTGGCTGAGGCTGGCAACGGACCTGCCCGTGCGCAGAGAGCCGTTGAGGACTCGCTGTGTGGCAGTTCCCCAGCCCTGGGGTCAGTCAGCGCCTTGTCAGCCGCCTGGTGAGCACCGCAGGAGCGCCCTGGAGCCAGGTGCTCCTGTCCAGCCCCAGTGAGTGCCGGAGGTCTTGCAGGAGGCTGGGGAGGGGACCCTCCGGAGGGGACCCTCCCTCTTAGGGCCTGGTCACTCAGGCTTGCCAAATTCACCTGTTGTCCCCGTCGGGTCTGGCTCCTCCTCTGTCCTCAGGGTCAGGTTCCTCAGTCCAGGGTTTCCTGAATTCTCCTGAAACACCCTCATTGATCCGTTGCACTCTGATTGCAGGCCTCTGGGTTCTGTTTTGAATCGATCCTTTTGTATTTTGTACCCTCACCCCCACCCCCAGCCCCTGAGCATTTCCAAAGAAATCATTCACAAATGGATGTACTTCGTTGATGGCAGAATTGGGGATCTGGGGTCCTCAGCACCGTCTGTGACATCCTTCTTTTCCCCCATATCCCAAAAAGCCTTTCCAGAGACCCTTAGAAAGAGAAGGGGCAAAGTGTAGCATGGCCCTGAGGTGTCCCACCTAGCTTTGTGATCTTGCAGATCTGAACATGTCATCTCTGTGAGAACATTCTCCCCACACCTTGTGGCATGTTACAAATATCAAGCTTGGTTCTCATGATCACAGTGGCTGGACCCCACTGGATGTGTGCCAGGTAGCACAGGGGTCAGTCCATACAAAGAGCAATCTTTGCAGTGGGAATAGCCACTGCACCCTTGAGGGGAGTTGCTGGCCTGCAGAGGAGAGCTTCTCTGGGGGCTTTTCCTGGCTCTGGCTACTCTCTCTTGTCAGCCTGGTGCACCAGGCAGGGGCTATTCTCATCTGCCTCTGTGGACTTGGCTCTAGCCCTTGATTCCTGGCCCTGGCTCTGGCACTGACAAGAACTTTATCTATGAAATAAACCTATTTTTTTGTGGCCAAGGCTTCTTCTCACTTGTTAAGTCTAGCTCAGATCTTACTACATTGAATAACTGCATTCCTCAATTTCCCTGGTAAAATTCATCATCCTACAATGAGATCTCAGTCTGATTTCATACATTCTGTGCAGGCCCTGCAGATAAAACCAAAACCAAACCGAAGAATATGACTATTTAACACCACTTGGGTGCAGTCCCTATAGCAGTCAGGGAAAACAGGAGGGGAACACTGGGATCACTTTTGATAAGGAACATTACAAAGATTTGGAACTTAAGGGACATTTTAAGAAGGAGCGTTACCATGATTTGGAACTTCAGGGACATTTTAAGGACAAGAGGGGCTCTTTTCTAGAGTGGACACTGTCAGGAAGCAGGAAATTCAATTGGTGGTGGTCTTCTTACATCTTATGCAGAAAAGGGAAGCCTAGAGGGAGGTGAATATTAATTGGGGGCAAAGCAGCAGTCATTTAAGTTCACGAGATAGGGATGATTGGTCACTTCTATGAATTAATCTATGTTCACCTTTCATCTGTGTTCAGACATGGTTAGAGATCAGACTTCATTTTTGGTCCTGATTACTCATTTCACATTGAATTAGGTGCATGTTGATGCTCTATGAAATTGCTTGTGCTGCACTAGGAATTTAGGGCCATGCTGCATGTGTCAAACTTGGTCCTGGCAACAGCAGGCCCCGCTGATAGACAGGCCAACTGCTGGAGGTCGAGGCTGCTTTCTTCTTTTTCATACCATCTCAGAGCCAGGTACTAAAAGATGCCTCCTAGGAGAGGGTTTCAAATAGATTGAGAAAAATATTAAAGCATTTATGGCACCAGAAAATTATCAAGACAGAAGAAATTGGAACAAGTATTAAAAGGGAGTCCAAAACAACAGTTTGTGACCATTGCTTCTGCTGGGGATGCTGTTCCTGTCCTGGCGCAGTCTCCTTTTTGCTCTGGCTGGGGTTGTCTGTTCACATGCCCATTTGGGAGCTTCTCTTCTGGGTGCCATGTGCATTGCTGCTGCTGGACCCCCCAAAACTCATGGAATTTGTGTGTGTCCCTCCCTCCAGCAACCTGTGTTTACTACCTGCCTGGACCTCCACACAGGTGTCTGACATTCACTCAGATGGTTGGCCCTTTACTGCCCTTTGAGGAAATCCCAGAGCCTGTGCAGGCACCTTGTGACCTCACCCAGAGCAAAGAGGATTCATTCTGTTAGGAGCTTAGAGAAAAGGGCAACAGAATTTGGTGAGGGCTTCGGTGGGATGAACAGATTTGTAAAATTAGGCTTCTGTGGAAAGGTCCCAGGGAAACATAACTGTTCTGACTCTGGGTGCCGGGTAAGTCACATTGCCCCTTTGTGCTGTCTTTCATTTTCCTTTTCATAAAAGGATTTTTAGGGTGGTGTCTATATTCCTGAGTAGAAATGCATTATTATTTTGGATGCTCTCTGTCACTGTAAGTTGCACACACATTCTTATACCTGCAGCATGGTGACCTGGGCTTCCTCTCTGTTCCAGGAGTTAACAGTATTGTTGTCCACTCAGGCCCAGGTGCGTCCATGGCTAAATTCAGCATCCTGAGGAGAGGAGGACAGAGTTCCCCTGAATAATGTCAAGGAGCGAGGTAAGCCTGTATGCTGCTTCTTTCTGTCATTTTTGATTAATTTGCATTTTTATATAACCATAGACTATGCATTCCTTTTGTGTCACCTCTAGTAACTATTTTCAGGTTTTTCGATGCTTTTCCTACATCTGCACTTCAGCCTCTCATGGCAGTGCATAGTAGTTTACAGTTTGTTCATACATTCCTCTCCTAATGGATGTCTGCATGTTTCCTGTGTTTGTGTGCATATTTGAAAGAAATTGCTATGGATATTATGAAAAAGACATTGTTTAAGCACTTACACTTTTATTTCCCTTCATTTAATGCCTGGTCATATGGGTAGATACATGTTCAACTTTTTTCTTTGCTTTTGGTACTGGGGATTGAAGCCAGGGCCTCAGCATGCTAGGTGAGTGTTGTACAACTTGAGCCACATCTCCTGTCCTTTTTCATTTTATTTATTTATTTATTTATTTATTTATTTATTTATTTATTTTTTTTTTTTTTACCATGTTTACATCATGTAAAACAGATTTTCCCCTCAAACATCTATTATTTTATTAATGGTAAAGACATTCAAAAATATTTTTCTATCTTTTTGAAATCTGTAATACATTATTACAATCTATAATCCCCTGGTAGAGAATAGCAACCAGCACTTCTTGTTTCTAACTAACTGCATATTAATAACCATTGATTACCTTTTCTTATACTACTCTCCTCCCTATTCTCCCCAGCCTTTGGTAAACACTCTTCTATTCTCAATTTATATGAGATAAACATTTTTCTAATCTACATATTTATGATATCAATCTATTCCTGTGCCTTGCTCTTAGTTTCATCCATGTTTCTATAAATAAAATAACTTTGTCTTTTTAATAGGTTACTAGTTATGCCTTGTGTATAAGAACCACATTTTCAGATATTATTATATTATTATTTTTCTGATATTATCTCATTAAAGAGATTATGTATTCCTTTGATTTGAATCTCTGTGCCTTCCTCTATCCCCCCAAAATTTAGATTTGTTCTTTTGAGGCTATCCCATAATTTTTGGATTTTCTGTTCATCGTTTCTTACCATGTTCACCATGTTTTCAATTTTACTTGCCAGATTCTACACTTTGTCTTCATTATCTGACATTCTATCTTCCAAGTGATTTAGTCCATTGGTGATGTTTTCTATTGAGTTTTTTATTTGGTTTATCATTTCCTTCATTTCAAGGATATCTGACTGGATTTTTTTCAGAGTCTCTATTTCTTTCTTTTTCTTTTTTTTTTTTTTTTTTTTTTTTTTTAATTTTTTATTGTGGGTTGTTCAAAACATTACAAATTTCTTGACATATCATATTCCACACTTTGATTCTAGTGGGTTATGAACTCCCACCTTCACCCCATACACAGATTGCAGATTCACATCAGTTACACATCCATTGATTTACAAATTGCCATACTAGTGTCTGTTGTGCTCCGCTGCCTTTCCCATCATCCACCCTCCCCCCTCCCCACCTCTCCCCTCCCCTCCCCTCCTCTCTCTCTACCCCCTCCACTGTATAACCCTGAGGGTCTCCTTCCATTACCGTGCAATTTACCTTCTCTCTCCCTTTCCCTCCCACCTCTCATCCCTGTTAAATGTTAATCTTCTTCTCCTGTTCTTCGTCCCTACTCTGTTCTTAGTTACTTTCCTTATATCAAAGAAGACATTTGGCATTTGTTTTTTAGGGATTGGCTAGCTTCACTTAGCATAATCTGCTCTAATGCCATCCATTTCCCTGTAAATTCTATGATTTTGTCATTTTTTAATGCAGAGTAATACTCCATTGTGTATAAATGCCACATTTTTTTTATCCATTCGTCTATTGAAGGGCATCTAGGTTGGTTCCACAGTCTTGCTATTGTGAACTGTGCTGCTATGAACATCGATGTAGCAGTGTCCCTGTAGCATGCTCTTTTTAGGTCTTTAGGGAATAGACCAAGAAGGGGAATAGCTGGGTCAAATGGTGGCTCCATTCC